TGTGTGTGTGTGTGTGTGTGTGTTTTGTTTTGTTTACAATCCTAATCTGGGCAACTCTAGAAAAAAATTCCAAGTTTAAGGAAGCCCTGTTTTGACCACAGGTGACTAGTAAGAAAGCAGTACTGTATATGAGCTTCAGTTTTATATCCCACATATGAGTGAAATCATATGGTTCCTAGTTTTTTCTGTCTGGCTTATTTCGCTTAGCATGATAGTATTTTCAAGATTCATGTTGTTGCAAATGGCACTATTTCTTCCTTTCTTATGGCTGAGTAGTATGCCACTGTATATATGTACTACATCTTTATGTAGTCCTCCATCAAAGGACACTTGGGTTGTTTCCATGTCTTGGCCACTGTGAATAATGCTGCGATGAGTATAGGGGTGCATATATTTTTGTGAATAAATGTTTTCAAAATTTTATTGGCTGTGCCAGTTTACATTCCTACCAGCAGTGAATGAGGGTTCCTTTTTTCCACAACCTTTCCAACAATTGTTATTACTTATCTTGTTTATCATAGCCATTCTAACAGGCATGAGGTAGTATCCAATTGTGGTTTTCATTTGCATTTCCCTAATAGCTAGTGAAGTTGAGCATATTTTCATATATCTGTGAGTCAGAGGGAAGGGGGTGAGGAGGCAATAAAGGGTAAAGGGGACCAGACATATGGGACAGAAGGTGATTTGACTTTGGGTGGTGGGCACACAATGCAATATTCAGATCATGTATCATAGAAACGTACACTTATATAAGCTTTTAAAAAATATACTTTTATTGATTTCAGAGAGGAAGGAAAAGGGAGAGAGAGATTGAGACATCAATGATGGGAATCATTAATCAGCTGCCTCCTGCACACCCCTCATGGGGGATTGAGCCTGCCACCAGGCATGTGCCCTTGACTGGAATCGAACCTGGGACTCTTCAGTCCGCAGGCCAGCACTCTATCCACTGAGCCAAACCAGCTAGGGCCACTTATATACTCTTATTAACCAATGTCACCCCAATAAATGTAATAAAGTAAAATAAAGAAGAAGTACTGTATAAAATTCCCTACTTTAAAATAAGACTGGGCTTTTTAACCCAATGCTGGTCTCCTTGATGTATTAGATTTTTAAATTTTTATAAAAAATTGTTTCTTGGGCTCAAGAAATAGATTTTAAGACACCTGGGTCTTGACAGGACTAAATTTTTGTCTTTCCCAAGGCCCAGAGAGTATTGATTGCCTCTCAGGTTAAAGAAGTGCTACATAATGCCTCACGGCTTGGGGTGTTTTATTACACGGCATTTACTGGAAGCATCAGGTATTTGGAATATTATTTTTAAAAACCTGTTTTATTTAAACCTCACCAAGCTAGGACAAGAATTTTCAAAGGAAAAGGCCAACTCAGTTCTGCTTCTGCTTTGGCTAATTCTGGGGTGATGCACTCCCTCCCTGTTGGTCCCCAGACTGGCCTAGTTTAAGGAACAAATTAGAGAATAAGAGTTTTCAATCTTAGGGAACATTGCCTACCATAAGACAATTTTAAAGATTAGAACTTCATCCTTGTAAAAGCAGTTAATAATTTTGAGACTCCACCATGTGCCAGATACTGTATTAAGTGGTTTCCTATACATTACCTTATTATTCATGAAAAATAATACTTAGAGGAAAATGGAGCTTCGTGAATGTAGTAACTTGCCCTTGTACACACAGCTGATCAGAAACAGAGCTGGGATTCAAATCTATGTCGTCTGCCTCCAAATTGTCTGCCTTCCACAGGACTTTGCCTTTGCATTCTTCCAGGGCTGACTGATTTCTCTGATTGTTTTCTTAGGGAAGGTGCTTTAACTGTAAGAGCCTTGCTATGTTCTTATTTAATTCCTTCAGTGTTTTAATTGCTTTAATTTATTTTCAAATATTTTCTCCCAGTCACTGGCTTTTCTTTTCATGATCCTGGGTTCCTCAAAGAGAAATTCTTAATTTGATGAAGACCAGGTTATCTTTGGTGTGTGTGTGTGTGTGTGTGTGTGTGTGTGTGTGTGTGTATTGTGCTTATGGTATTATATTTAAAAAATCATTGTCTAACTCAAGGTTACAAAGATTTTTCTCCTAAAAATGTTATAATGTTAGTAATTATATTTAGATATACAGCCCATTTTGAGTTAATTTCTGTATACCTTGTGAAGTATGGAATGAAGTTCTGGTTTTCGCATATGGGTATCCAATTGTTCCAACACCATTTGTTGAAGATTGTCCTATCTCCACTGAATTACCTTTGCAATATACATGTGTCGGTCTGTTGGTAGGCATGTGTTGGTTTATTCTTTTACAGTGATCTCTTTACTATTTCTATTCTAATGTCACACTGTCATGTACTAAAATAATTCGTGAAGTCGGATAACATAAGTCCTCCAGCTTTGTTCTTTTTCAAAGTTCTCTTGTCTGTTGAGGTCCTTTATCATTTCTTTAGCTTTTAGTTATTCAGGCATATGGTTATAAAACAGCATCTAGAAATCTAAACATAACTTAAAATTCAAAGTTATTAAAGAGTAATCTGGAAACTTTCCATAATCCAGCTTCACCAGTAAATGAGGAAAGGAGAAAGAATGGCTCTAAGAGAATGGCCCTAAGAGAATGACTCTAAGCCCAGGCTACTGCCAATTTAAAAAAAATAGAATATAAAAATTTATACCAGAATTAATGTTTCAGAAGATATCTTGGGCCCTAGAGTATCTTAGTCACAGTGAGCATTGGTTGTCGATGTCCTGGCAAAGTGGAGAATTACTGATTAAAGGGAGTTTATTTGGTTACATTGCTGCCTGCAATGGTATCTATTCTACTTGTGACTTGGAGGAAACCTTTTATCAGATATCTGAAGTATTATAATTGAGAGTGATGTGCATAGCATTTTAGTATCTGTCTCTTTCAATAAAGAACATACTTGTTCTCTTTAAATTTGCTATCTGCTGAAGACAATGAGTTGTAGTATTAATTGATCCCTGATAATGTTAGCTACCACTGCCACAGTGTGACAGTTGAAAAACTACTTGTTCTCTTTGGGCTTCAGTTTCTTCATTTGTAAAATAAAAGGTTTGAACTAGCTAACCTTGAGTGGCTCATCCAACTCCAATAGTTCTTTGACTTTTTTGTAGTAACTTCATTGACTTAAAAATGACAATCCTTTTCAGAATAATTAAACAAAAACTCTTAATGGCAAAAAGCACTGTGGTAAGTCAGACTGGGAGCTTTTTAAGTCAGAAAGTAGTGATATTTGATATATTACAGATAGCCTAATACCACTGCATGATTCTACTTTTAACTATGGCCAACTCTGAGAAAGTAAGATGGCATTTATGGTTCCTGGTACTGTGTCCTGTTGTGGTCCTTGAAACCCATATTCTGAGATGCTCTTTAGCTTCTCAGATTAAGGAAAGGAGAAAGAATGGCTCTAAGAGAATGGCCCTAAGAGAATGACTCTAAGCCCAGGCTACTCCAAAGGTTCAGTGTACTCCTTAATTGGCAGGTTAGATTTTCAAATGTATCTCCCAAGTACCATGGTATAGTATTAAAACCAAGAAGACTTTAAAAAATATCTACATCATTTCCTATGCCAAAGCATAACAGAGCTACTCTTGTCATAGCCTATCTGTTCATTGCTATATAGTATGGCCCCCAAAAATGTATACACACACTTTGAATAATTATAAAGGCAATGTTTATTTAAATAAATTTCATTTTCAAAATTGAACTATCAGCTGTTAAAGTGTGTATACATGTTTGGGACATGCTGTACTAATAGAATGAGAAGCTCCAAGAGCATTAAGTTTGCTAGAGAATACAGAATATAACTATGAATTAAAATACTAGTAATAAAAGGAACACTTATTGAGCCTATTTATTGAGCACTTATTGGATGCAAGGTGCTGTATGAAGAATTTATTATACTTTATATAATTTAATCCTCCCAACAATCTCAAAAACTCAGAGAGTTCATGTTCCTTGCACAAGGTCACACAGTAGTAAGTGGCAAAGTTGGTCATCAATCTATATCTGTATCAGTCATGGAGCTTAAATTCTTAGTGACTACATCAGAAACTATCTCTCATAACTTAACCAGCTCATTAAGAGAGTAATAGAATTTGTAGTATGAATTAGAATGATCTTCTAAACAAAGAACACCAAGGACTGATGGTTTGCTATGGGGTAGGCTTAATGGAAGAAAGAACTCATACAAGGTTTCCTGAGAAATTGCTTTGAGTTATATTTTGAGACGAAGAATATGAGTTGACCTAGAGAGAAAGGTGAGTTCATGCTTAGGGGACCTACTATAAAGATACAAATGAACAAATGATATGTTTAGGGAGCAACACACAGACTTAGTCATTGCAGGGCAAGAGCCAGAAATAAAACTGATGTCATGGGGTGAAAATCCAAGATTTCACTTTATTATGGTAGGCACTAGCGAGCCACTCTCAGTTCTTAAGCAAAGGAGGATACCTAATTAAAACTGTATTTGATTTTAAAATATATCCTACAACTTATGTAGGATGAATATGAGCTTTAAATGCATCAGGGAAGGTCAAGAGAAAATTCCTTAGTAAAATGTATTTGATACCCGGCAAATTATTTTCAGGAGTACTATGCAGCTTGCCTCATCAAGGTCCTATGACCTTAATAGTGCAGGGACAATATATTTAGCCCCCAAATAAGAGGCCTGGAAGCAGATTTTACACAATGTTCAGAAATAAAGGTGATTTATTTCCACGGCTTGTTTCCATTGTCACTGGTATTATGCAGTATGCATAAAGGAGCACACAGGGGTTATAGATTAGTCAGGCAAATAACTCTCAAATTGAGTTGAATTGAAGTCCACTTTTGGGTGACTCCTGGGTGAGGGCTAGTGTATTTGGTGAACTATAGTTGGGTCTGTTCCATTATAAATCCACTAATACTAACTTAATATTTCTTCACACTTTCTGAAGCATTTTCTTTCTCTTTCTCTCCCTTCTATCTCTCCAGTTCCAGAGACCTAATGACTTCTCACCCCCTTTTCGCTTCGGGACGGTGCCCAATGGTAGCACAGAGAGGAATATTCGCAATAACTACGCAGAAATGCATGCCTACATGGGAAAGTTCAACCAGAGGGATGTGGATGATGCGTTGCTCTCCCTGAAAACAGGGTAAGAACTGCTTCCAAGCTCAGAGTCTGTGGTATGTTTCTCACATTGTTAAACGTACATTGAATCAGATGTACTATGTTGGGGTGCCACACAAAGTTACAGCAGGGAATACTTCACTTGCTCTTCATGGATTTCCAAGTTAAATTTGACAGTATAATTCAGGCCAGTGCACAAGGATTCCTATGCTATTTTTGCTTCTATGTATATGTTTTACAATTTGTATCAATGCAACCATGAAACAAGAATTTGAATAGATATAAAAGTAGAAGCGAAGAGTCAATGATAAGGTTCATGTGTTACACATCAAATAAAGACCTGATGAACAAGAGGTGAAAATGATGGTTCTAGTATCTCATAGACAAGGAAGAAATAAAACAAAAAAGGGTAAACATTTTTAGACAACAAACAATAAGAATATGTTGACTGATCTCTCATTCTGTTTTTGTTGTTGTTATTCTTTGATCCAGCTCTATACTCTAGGAAATATTTGTTCATTAAAAGGAGCTCATGATCTGCAAATGTGTTGGCTTGCATAATCCCAGCCACATTGATCTCTTTACTCATTTGGCCTCCTGAAACCACAGCTGTCAAATAAGACAGACAGTTGAGCATTATAGATGTTGGGGTTTGGGGGGTCAAGGGGTCCTGTAGCTAATTTCCTGTATTGTATGATAACTAGCAATAGTTGGACCTTCTGGTGGCTTCAGTTCTGGAAGAGCCACTAGATGCATGGTTACCTAAATACTGTTATTTAAGTATTTCGGTATGTTATAATATGACTCTCTCTTTTTTAAAATTTATCTTTATTGTTGAAAATAATACAAATGTATCCTTTTCCCCCCATTAACCCCTTCTAGCCCACCCTCACCTGCCCCCTGCCCTAGGCCTTCACCACACTATTGTCTGTGTCCATGGGTTATGCATATATGCATATAAGTTCTTTGGTTAAGCTCTTCCCACCCACTCATACCCACCTTCAAATGACTCTATCTTATCACCATAAAGTCACAGCAGATTTTAGAAGATGGGATTTGAGCTTGGGGATAGGACTGGGTCGATTGGTCTGGCCCTTGGTACACCACAGTTATTAATCATATCAAAGCTTTCTATAGGATCCTCATGGGCCTTTTAAAATATGATGCAAGGCTTATCACACCAGAAAGGGCTTATTTTTTCCTGAGGGGTAATAAAGCTAGCTTTACTTACATAAGTATAGGATAATGGATGCTTTTCTTGAAGACCTCTCTAATATCCATATGGTTATGTCTGAATTTCTTCCTCTACCTTTTATGTGCTTGAATGTTGCTTTCAAATATTGATTTATGCCTTCCCGCTCTTACTCATAGTCTACTCACTTCCCTACATATTCCCTTCTTGCAAAATACAATATGAAGGGGTAGGTAAAAGTAGGTTTATAGTTATGAGTATACAAAATACAGAGTTTATTCTTGTATTATTTGTTTATTCTTGTATTATTTACCATACAAACAACTGCAAACCTACTTTTTTCCGCCCCTGTAAAAGGAGGTTCTTATATATGCTTAGGAATTCGAGAGATCTGAGTTCTCTATGTTGCAATCTCTTGTTACTTTCACACATTTGCTCTTAATACAAGCCTGTGCTGCCACCACCCCAACTATTCCTTTTTCCTTGTGCGGCAAAGCAGAATATTGAGACCTTTCTGACCACAAAAATAGCACTGCACATCTATTGAAATACATACACCTACACTTATCCCCACTCTGGACTGTAATGAACTGGAAAATGAAAAATGTTATATAAATCTAACCCATGCTATTTGTTGTTATCATTGTGATGGTTACTTTTCATTATTTCTGTTATTATTTTTATTGATTCCTTTTTACTTCCTCTCCCTTTCAGACCCAGCTTATGAGTTGGCTTCAGGCCAAACTTACATTCTCATCATTCCCAGTAGGAGGGAAAGAACTCCTCCTTTCAACTTGAAATCACATAAAGAATAACCTGGGGTAGATTCTGGCTGAGTTCCAACTTGAGCCTTTCTTTGAACCAATTCTCCCCACGGTTTTCTGGAGCCCTACTGCTTCATGTTAATGTCCCCATAGGTAGTTCTGTACTAAAATTCCTCCACTGTATTGGGTTTCTTTGTTTCTTTCTTGCACAGGAAACTGGATGCCTTCATCTATGATGCAGCAGTGCTCAACTACATGGCAGGCAGAGACGAAGGCTGCAAGCTGGTGACCATTGGCAGCGGGAAGGTCTTTGCTTCCACTGGGTATGGCATTGCCATCCAAAAAGATTCTGGGTGGAAACGCCAGGTGGACCTTGCTATCCTGCAACTCTTTGGAGATGGTAAGTTAACAAAAGGAAAGTGCCTTCTTAGCCTCTTCTGATGGCCAGTCCAAAACATCAATCGGATTTCTCCATTCTGCTAATCCCTGCATCTCCAGGAAAGCATGTCACAATACACTATGAGATTTGGGGGTTTGTATTAGTTTCCTAAGGCTGCCATAACAAAGAACCACAGAGTGGCTTAAACAACAGAAATATATTGACCTATAGTGCTGGAGGCCAGAAGTTCAGGATGAAAGTGTTCGTTGGTTTCTTCTGAGGGCTGCCAGGGAGAATTATTGCATTTCTGCTGTCAAGTTCTGGTGGCTTTTCCCTTTGTGCATGTTTTTTCCTTTATATGCATGTGTCCAATTTCCCCCTTTTTTCAGAGCATTAGTTACATTAGATTAGGGGCCCACTCTATTCCAGAATGACCTCATTTTAACTAATTACATCTGCAATGACCCTGTTTCCAAATAAAGTTCACATCCCAAGGTACTAGGGTTAGGACTTCAACATGTGAATTCAGGAGACACAATTCAAACTATGACAGGGTGAAAGACAGGACATAAGATTAAAGTAGTTGATCAAGGAGGTATGTTTCAGAATTGCAGGCTATGATCAAACCTCCAGGGAGTAAGAGAGGCTGATATAAGATGTTCCAAACAATCATCTCACATGTGGGCAAAGTGGATGGAACTTTGGAAAGTCTCTGCTCTGTATGTACCCAGAGAAAGGGTAGAGAAATCAACTTGTGTCCATCTACTCATTCTTCCCTTTCTCCCATCATGTTCTTTCAGCTGGAAGAGGTAGGAGGCAGACACCATAAGGTATTCCCCAGACTGAGCAGCCAACTTGCTTTGAAAAAAATTGCATCTCCTATTTCATTATAGCATGTTTTCTGCATCCCTTTTCACTTTATTGTCCAAAGTACCTCCTCCTCCTGTTGGTCTCAGAGAAGCTAATCCAGTTACGGTTGAGCAACTTGACTCTATACTTGGCCCCACGGGCCATCAGCAAAGCAGTTCTCTAAATTATGTCTGCAGAATCGTTGCTGTTAGGGATGAGATAAGAGGCAGAAGAGCACAGCTGGATTTTCAGACTCAGGTGAAGTGGTTGCTCCACTAGTTAGGAGAATCACAGTTTGGTCAAAGAAATGAATATAAGATGATTTGATTGATGTTGGAAAGAGGAGGGATGACAGCTGGGCTGTTAACTGGACATTTTGGTGTGAGAGCTTCTCTGATTTTAGTAATAATAGAGATCTACCTCTGAGGAAGAACAGCAATAAATCTGATTTGAAAAAGTGACCAAAGCTCTAGTCAGATTGCGCAAAGTTCAGATTTTTAGCCAAACCAGAACTATTGGAACAGGCAATTCCCTTCATGAGATTTTCAGAATGTTGCTCATCTAGAATTAGATGCATTCCAGGGCACCTGGTTTCTTTCATTTCCCTTTTGTTTAGGTTCTCTACATTTCTGAGTCCTAGTATGTAGTGAAATGGATAAAGATTATTAAAACCAGACATGAATTGAGTCCATCAAAGCTCCTTTAAGCAGAGTTAAAAGGAGGCAGGTCTGAATTTGGTGGTCTCATTTTATTCAAGCTCACTTCCCTTTACTCTTAATGTTTGTATTTTCCTTGGCAACAAAAGACCAGTAAGTCTGAGGGTCCCTAGGGAATCAGTCAATCTCTCTGCTAATCTCTGTCTTTCCTCTCTTAACGCAATTGCTTTGCACATTTGTTTAAGAGCAATTTTCTGAATCACTTGTTTGATGATGTTATTCCTCACTGTCTACAAAATAAAGTGCCAAATGCTTAGTCTGATGCACAAGCCCTCAGCAATCCTGCACCAACCTTTTTTATTCAGCTTTCTTTGCCTACTTGTACTCTGTTTGAACTGTTCCGCATGCCTTTCCCTAAACAAGCCTTCAATTTTCCACCTTTCTTCCATTGATCCTGCTATTTCTGCTGCCTGGAGTTCATTTTCATACAATATACATTAAAATACACCCACTCACCATGCCCACCTCCAAGTCTTATCTCTCTCATGAACACCTACTGGCCACTCACCCACAAAATTACTTGCACTAATTTGAACTCTTGTTACTTGCATATAGTTTATCATATTGCTTATGTATATACTAATTTACACTGGATAGATAATGGAGAGCAGTTAATGTCTCATATATTTGTATTTTCTGCGGTACCTTTATTAAGTTTTCAATGAATACTTGTTGAATACAATGAATACTTATTGAATATAATAGTATTAATAAAATTACTGTTAACTCTCTATTAATTTTTTCTTTATGTCTCCCTGTCTCTTTCTCTCTCATGTTTTTCTCTCTCTCTTCCCCAACACCCCTCTTTCTTCCTTGTTTTTACTCTTCTGCTCTTTTCTCTTTACCTATTCTTCCTGCCCTGTTTCCAGGGGAGATGGAGGAGCTGGAAGCTCTCTGGCTCACTGGCATTTGCCACAATGAGAAGAACGAGGTCATGAGCAGCCAGTTGGACATTGATAACATGGCAGGAGTCTTCTACATGTTGGGAGCAGCCATGGCTCTCAGCCTTATCACCTTCATCTGTGAACACCTTTTCTATTGGCAGTTCCGGCACTGCTTTATGGGTGTCTGTTCCGGCAAGCCTGGCATGGTCTTCTCCATCAGCAGAGTAAGTGGGCTGATTTAGGTGCCTGGAGCCTATAAAAGACAGCTTAGTCTAGCATTGTGCAAAACCGAGAGACCCAGGAGGGCACTGACTCTAGCCTGTGCTGTTGAAGCAAGAAACCACATCATGTATGTTTCCCCAGTGGGGTTGCATGACATAATTTCCAGGGGCTTAAAAAACAGGTGCTGCCCTAGCCGGCTTGGCTCAGTGGATAGAGCATCAGCCTGCGGACTGAAGGGTCCCAGGTTCGATTCCGGCCAAGGGCACATGCCTGGGTTACGGGCTTGATCCCCAGTGGGGGGCATGCAGGAGGCAGCTGATCAATGATTCTCTCTCATCGTGAATGTTTCTCTCTCTCTCTTTCTCTCTCTCTCTCTCTCTCTCCTCCCTTCCTTTCTGAAATCAATAAATACATTTTTTAAAAAAAAGAAAAAAAAACAGATGCTGCTACTTTTTTTCCTTCAAGAAACAGCTTTCTGTGTAGGGTTTGGACATTTGGTTTTCAATGAGAACTGGCAGATCTATCAGAATAAAAAAGTTGGCCTTTTACCAAATGCCTTTCATCACCATTAGTTAATTCTGTATAGGCTGCCATAATAATTTAATCCTTTTTAAAAAATGATATTCCTATTCAGATAGAGAAATGTAATATGTCTCTCTTATTCTAACATACAAACGTATATTATTGTTTTATTGTTCCCCTCTGTGTTTTAACCATGTGTGAGTTATGGGGAGTTAAAGAACTTAACAGAACCTTCAGAAATAAGTCCTGACCCATAAGAAATTTACATTCCAGAAATGTCCTTAATTGGAGCAAAGTATAACTCTGAAGTTGCTCTTTATTTAGACTTCTATGTTTCTAGTCCAAACTAAGGATTTATAACATTTTTAATATGAACATGTCACAAGGAAGAGTAAGAAAAAAGGAGGAGGAAAGTGGAATTCTCGTTAAATTATTCCATCTTTTGATCGTTTTCCTGTAGTATTTCACTGATAGAGAACAATTTCCTCTCGGCTATTAGTTGATTCAGGCTATTCAGTAACATTGGACCAGGATGACAGAACTTGTGGCCCATGAGTCATGTTGATTCCTTGTGTGGCCCTTCCCTAAGGTCCTAGATAGGGTGATGGCAGAAACAATCAGAGCTGGTGACCTGGAATAGAAACCCCATTCATAGCCCTTCTACATAATCAATGCCTCTGTCCAGGAAAAATGCTTGGCATTTTCTCCTGGCCATGATTAAGAATGGTTAGAAAGGAGGCCTGACAAAGAAAGTAGAGTAACCTTACCTTGATCTATGTTGCTGTGTCCTCTGGGACAGTGAAGCTCAGCTCATCTAAACCTTTCTTCTTTGCTATTTAGTTATCATCCTCCTTCCTAACCTCCTCTCCTCCCATCTCCATCCATTGGGACAACTTCCCTTTTCAAATTACCCCCCTTCTTTTAAAGACACAATTCAAACAACCTCCTCTTCAAATACATTCCCTTGCCAGGGAGAAAAGTTCCAAATTTGTCCACCTTTCAAGGCAGGGAGCAAGATATTAGCAGGAAGTTGGCTTGACTTTTAGACTTGAACCCAACCCATTCCTTCTCCTGGGTAGTGGTGTTTAAGGTCCTGCATACAGGGAGTTCTCAATCAATACTAATTTGCTGAGATATTAATTAATTATTTATAAGGTTGAATGAAAAAATATAAGAAGAAAAGCAGGAGCTAAAGAGAGAACAAATAAAAGAATTCAACAAGGAATAAATAATTTCCTATTTAGTAGTAGATCTCTGTCCCAATTCTTCCCTCCCACGGTGTGGGACGCAGCAGGAGAAAAATCTGTCTTTGACCCAAGGGCTTCCTAATTCTCTCTTTGAATTTAGTTCATGCTTGGCTCAAGAAGAGAACTGCTTAGCTGTTATTTGGTGATCAAAATTCTAAAAGCTGCTCAAAATTTGTCAGAGCTGGAAAAGAAAGGCAATTGTGAGCTACCGAGCTCCCCTGTGCTTTCCTGCCAGCCAGTGTGGCCAGCCAGGGCAGAGCAGGCTCAACATCTGTGGAGCGTTGCTACTGATTTCCAGAAGGCTGACAATATTTTCTGCTATTGGCCAATACCATGCATCAGCTTTAAGATGTGAACCCTGGGCATAAAATGGAACATCAGTGCAAGTCACTGAGGGAGTCAGGGCAAGAATGTCTTGTGATTTTATCCTATTTGCTCAAGTCACTTGTTGTAGTCGTGCACCCTCTCAGATAGCCAGCTAGGCCACGAGCTTAGCTCCTAATATGCTACTTCTAAATGCAGGGAGATAAATCGTGCAAGCTTCTAGCCACATCTTTTTACGAGTATATAAGGCTATTCGTTTCATATTTTCCCTGCCTTTTCTTATCATTAGGCAATTAGTAGTGGGGGCGGGCGGATTCTTTACAGTCATGTTTTAGCCTCACTGGAGACCTAATCCTCCCATCCTGCCTGTTCTGCAGGGTATCTACAGCTGCATCCATGGAGTGGCTATCGAGGAGCGTCAATCCGTGATGAATTCCCCCACCGCGACCATGAATAACACCCACTCCAACATCCTGCGCCTGCTTCGCACGGCCAAGAACATGGCCAACCTGTCCGGGGTGAACGGCTCCCCGCAGAGCGCCCTGGACTTCATCCGCCGCGAGTCCTCTGTCTACGACATCTCCGAGCACCGCCGCAGCTTCACACATTCCGACTGCAAGTCCTACAACAACCCGCCCTGCGAGGAGAACCTCTTCAGCGACTACATCAGCGAGGTGGAGAGGACTTTCGGCAACCTGCAGCTGAAGGACAGCAACGTGTACCAAGACCACTATCACCACCACCACCGGCCCCACAGCATCGGCAGCACCAGCTCCATCGACGGGCTCTACGACTGTGACAACCCGCCCTTCACCGCCCAGCCGCGCTCCATCAGCAAGAAGCCCCTGGACATCGGCCTCCCCTCCTCCAAGCACAGCCAGCTCAGCGACCTGTACGGCAAGTTCTCCTTCAAGGGTGACCGCTACGGTGGCCACGACGACCTGATCCGCTCCGACGTGTCCGACATCTCCACCCACACCGTCACCTACGGCAACATCGAGGGCAACGCGGCCAAGAGGCGCAAGCAGCAGTACAAGGACAGCCTGAAGAAGCGGCCGGCCTCGGCCAAGTCCCGCCGGGAGTTCGACGAGATCGAGCTGGCCTACCGCCGCCGGCCGCCCCGCTCCCCGGACCACAAGCGCTACTTCAGGGACAAGGAAGGGCTACGGGACTTCTACCTGGACCAGTTCCGCACCAAGGAGAACTCGCCCCACTGGGAGCACGTGGACCTGACCGACATCTACAAGGAGCGGAGCGACTCGGTCAGCGGAGGCGGGCCCTGTACCAACAGGTCTCACCTCAAACACGGGGCCGGGGACAAACACGGCGTGGTCGGCGGGGTCCCGGCGCCTTGGGAGAAGAACCTGACCAACGTGGAATGGGAGGACCGCTCCGGGGGCAACTTCTGCCGCAGCTGCCCCTCGAAGCTGCACAACTACTCCTCGTCGGTGGGAGGGCAGAACTCGGGGCGGCAGGCGTGCATCCGCTGCGAGGCTTGCAAGAAAGCGGGCAACCTGTATGACATCAGCGAGGACAACTCCCTGCAGGAGCTGGACCAGCCGGCGGCCCCGGTGGCCGTGACGTCCAACGCCTCCACCACCAAGTACCCCCAGAGCCCCACCAACTCCAAGGCCCAGAAGAAGAACCGGAACAAGCTCCGCCGGCAGCACTCCTACGACACCTTCGTGGATCTTCAGAAGGAAGAAGCCGCCTTGGCCCCGCGCAGTGTGAGCCTGAAAGACAAGGGCCGGTTCGTGGATGGGAGTCCCTACGCCCACATGTTTGAGATGCCAGCTGGAGAGAGCACCTTTGCCAACAACAAGTCCTCAGTGCCCACTGCCGGACACCACCACAACAACCCCGGCGGCGGCTACATGCTCAGCAAGTCGCTCTACCCTGACCGGGTCACGCAAAACCCTTTCATCCCCACTTTTGGGGACGACCAGTGCTTGCTCCATGGCAGCAAATCCTATTTCTTCAGGCAGCCCTCGGTGCCAGGGGCGCCAAAAGCCAGGCCGGACTTCCGCGCCCTTGTCACCACCAAGCCAGTGGTCTCGGCCCTTCATGGGGCTGTGCCAGGCCGTTTCCAGAAAGACATCTGTATAGGGAACCAGTCCAACCCCTGTGTGCCTAACAACAAAAACCCCAGGGCTTTCAATGGCTCCAGCAATGGTCATGTTTATGAGAAACTTTCTAGTATTGAGTCTGATGTCTGAGTGAGGGAAGAGAGAGGTTAAGGTGGGTATGGGAGGGTTGGGCTGTGGGCCTGCGATGGTGGGCATGTCACGGAGGGTGACGGGGGTGAACTTGGTTCCCATTTGCTCCTTTCTTGTTGTTTTAATTTATTTATGGGATCCTGGAGTTCTGATTTTTCGGAGGGCAACCCTGGTGACCAGCACCATCTCACCTCCCTTTCCAGTTCGCTCCTCCTTTCCCCATCTGTCAGTCATTCCCGTTCCCAAGAGAGGATGCAGTGGGTTCGCTCAGCAAGGGAGGCCAAAGTGAAGAAAGGAAGTGGCTGCTTGTGAGCTTCCTCCTAGTATGGAAGGACTCTGTCACCCACTTCGAGTGAAGCAAGGAGAAGCAAAAGGAGGCCACGGGAGCACAGGATAGCTCTTCCCAAACTGATCTTTATGTTTAGATGAGGCAGCAAAAGCATTCAAATAAGACCATTTAGCATATTTGCCTGTGAATGAAGAGAGGCTTTTGCTAAATTCTTGTGGTTTTGATGGCATCTGTTTAGGGATCATGTGCCAAGCAGAGGCGGGGAGGCCATGTGTGTTGGTATATAAGCCAAAATGTTTGCTTCAATTCCATGAGACTCATCAGTGGTGAACAAAGGTCATTGGTAGATGATGGAAAGTACATCATAGCAATCTTTCATGGTGCCTTAGAGGCAAGAGAGGGTGGACTGACTGTGTGTGCATGTGTGTGCAAATACACTTGCACATATGTGATCTGTACACACACAGAGTCTGGGGCCTATAAATGTAGAGAAGGCAACCAAGCCTCATGTTTCTTTCAATATTCCTCAGCAGTGTGCTTGTTTTGGCTTATATACAAACAGAGATGGTCATATGTTACCTGAATGTTGGCTGTCTCATCCCTTCACCCTTCCTGAATGAAGAGAATGGAAGTTCTTGTCAGAGAAGATTCTGTGGTCTAGACAAAAAGGTGGTAAACAATCCTACAAGAGCAAGGTACAAAAGTGATTTCTCCAGCTGCCAATACTTTCAACTGGTTTTGGCCAAGAACTTTCCAGGAAGGCTAAAGGGAAGTAGAAGTAGCCATGATCCTCTAGAGAGCAAAAGATTCTATAAAGCTCTCTTGAGCTTTAGACCCTCAGCTGGTCAGGGTTTGGGGAGGAGCTAATTAAGGCTTTGGAAAATAGGGGAGTAGTTTGTGGTAGGGTAAGTGAGAGAGGGGGATGTTTTCAATGCTTTGATCCCTTCTTACTTAACCTGGAGCTAGGAGAGCAGGCTTGTTCCCTCAGAATCGATCACAACTGGTAGGTAATAGGTAAGAGGCATGAGCTTGCTCATGAGTATAGCTCAGGAGGCATGGAGGGAAGGGAAGAGATTTGGAAGTGGGGAGGAGAGGGGTACACCCCTACTAGCCATTGGGTCTGGCTCCCTGAGAATGTGACATTGAGCCCAATGTGAACACTCTCGGTAGAAGCCCTTCCACCTTCCTGCAACACCTCCTTTCTCTCCCAGAGTATACCATTCAAGAATAAAATATATACATGTAGAAAAATTCCAAGAATGAGGGTACTGGCAGATGTGATGCCCCTTTCACTGAAAGTCGGAAACTTGAGAAGGGAAACGAATATTTGTCACTGCCGGTCCTGAAACTCTGGGTCGGTTCCGCTGTCCTGCCACCCTCCCCTTACACAGGTGGCAGCCACAGAGCTCGGGTCTGTTTGGAAGCTTGACTGCAGGACCTCCATGTTGCACACAGGACACACAAACCAGAAAGGTGCTCATCCTCCTCTGGAAGGAAGCTGCCATGTCTCTTCAAGTCACACCCTCCAGGGCTGCTCTTTGCCTTCTGTTTGCCCTGACTCACCACCCTTCCTCATTCCCCACCCTTGACTGCTATCCCCACCCTCCTCCTTGATTTTTTACCTCAGTATCTTTCATTTTAAAGCCAACTGAAGGCCTTGTAAAGCTTTGTTTTCTTTCTAAAATGAACCTGGGGGCAAGGGGCTGAACCTCTCACAAATTTGGAGAGAGGAGCACGGAGTGCTTTACTTTAGATTCAAGGAAAGACTTTGAGAGAGAGGACAGAGGGTGTGAGACGTCTCCAGGAGGAAGAAGGAGAAGGGCCATATAAACATTGCTTCACCCTGGCTCTGTCCAAGGTCAGGGGCTCCTCCCTCACTCTTCCTCTTACCTCACCCCGTTCAAATAAAAAACCAAACCAACTAACCTAGCGAACAGCAATCTAGAACAAAGGGGGCTCTGTTGGTCTCCACTGGTGACAGAAATCAAGATGGTGTTTATTTCATATGTAAATATTTTGTTTTCTAATTAATTTTGTATAGATACAGTGTTCTCTTGTGAGTATTCAGGGTGTTGGGCTGGAGGGGGTGGGGTGGGGCTGGGAATGAAGGGGGGAAAGTGTTCTGTTACGGGTTTTCATTTTCCACTGGGGAGAGTGTTTGTATGGCTTTTGCTTCAGGGTGTCTGGAAAAAAGTGAATGCGAGTGGAGGCCACTGTGGTGAGAAAGCCAGGGAGAGTCATTTGTGTCCATGTTTCCCCACCTCTCCGGTCTTATTGGTCTGTGAGAAGTGTTCATGCCCGTCGGCCTGGGCTTACTTAGCACAGGGTCCAGTTTGGCTCTAAGCAAACCCCAGGTCCAGCTCCTAACTTCTAGGTAGATATACTGTAGATCACCAGCATTCCATGCAAAGTCAAGCTGGTGGCACCATATTTTACCTGCCAGTATCTAGGATAGGGAAGATTCTCAAGAGGGCTTAAAGCAGAATGGAGGTCAAGTTAACCTATCATTTCTGGTGTGGCTGAGAGGTTTCAGGAAGCTCAGTCCTAAGGACTCTCCCAGCAGCCCCCTCTGATGTTTAACAACCATCTCAGTCACTGGGACTCTTCTTTCTAGTACCTGGGCACCCACCCTCTCACTGTCCCCTCCCTCCCTCCATGGAAATCATACCTAGAAAATTCCCACTAGATCTACTTTTGGAAACATGATATCTGGTTACAGGGAGGCAGCACTGGGTGCCTGTCTTACAAATTCACACGCTTTTCTGAAAAAATTACCAGATATGCTCAAAACTCAGTGGCCATATCATTCTCTTAGGTTGCAGAAGTTGGTTTTAGAGGTAGAAGGGCACGTATGTAAAGGATGATGCCAACAGTGACTTTATATTTGTCTACCCTCATTTCTGCCATTGCGAGGGGGCTGTTTGCCTCAAGCCAGGTATTCTTAACCTGACCTTGGGTTAGAGCCAGGCAAATTGAATTTCTTTCACTGGACTTCTGGCTTTGTGAATGACAGCAGCCTCTCTCTGTTTACCACAGGGTGAAATTTCTAAATCCATTTACCTGCGATATTACATTACTTTTTTTCCTATCTCCTATTATCAAATCTGTCAGCTGAGTCATTTTATTTTCCTTAACCCCTTCTTTGGCCCCAGTTGGTCATCTCTCTCCAACTGGATGTTTGAATTAGGACCAAATAAAATTTTCATGGCCTGCTCAAGAAAGCATAAAGAAAATGGCTAAGCATTGTTAAGTTCTAAGTGTTACTTCATTCCAAAATAACAAACCAGTAAAATGCATGAGAATGAACTCAGCAGTAAGCCCCATCTATTCCACAGATGGACAGAGACCCAGTCTATTCAAAACGGTGAGATTCCACAGACACTATTGGAGCAATAGTTGTTCCAATTTTCTTCAGAGTCCATGTTTACCATCTTTGTGTGCTCTATCATTTCCTTCCACTGTGGCAGTGGGTTGGTGGGTATGGTCCTGTATCATTCCTTTCAGTGGGCTGCTTAAATCTCAGCATTTCTACTGACCTCAAATAATCTGGCCCTTGAGTTTGCCTGAGTCAAGAATGTGCATACCCTTCAGAGTGATGCATGTCTAGTGGGTCTTGTAATTTCAAAGTATTTCACTGTGTATTCTCAGCCAGGATGCAGGAAACATTCTCGCTGTGGATTCCCCTGTGCCGGCCACCCATGTTGTGATTGGGGGAGAAAATCCCAAATGATTCCATTAAATGTTGGTGGTGTCAGTAGTGCCAAAATGCATGTATACTGTGATAAAATGAGAGTCATCTATAATTAAGTGAATATCACCCACCCAGTCTCTCTTTGCATCTAAAGTTGCCCAAGGGGAAACTCTCTGCATGAGAGGTGAAGAAATGTGTAACCAAAACTGCAGTGTGCTGGTCACCTGCGCATCTAAGAACTAGAGTTTCTTTGGGATTTTGTTTGTTGTTTGTTTGGTTGGTTGGTTTAGTTAGTTAGTTCAAGATTTATGGACAGAATAACCAGATGGTTTGGGCAATAGCCTTTGGAGAAAGCTATTCTAAAATTACTTTATTCTTTTAATCCCAAACTCTCTATAAAAATCCTAGTCATTGCTTAACACCTGTATGTGTCTGCTTGGTGTGTTAGGAATGATTTAGATGTGTGCATAAATAATGCAGCTGCAGTGCTATTGATGAATGCATTCGGTGTTTCCAGGTATTATGGCCATAAATTATGTGCTCTCTGAGCCCAAAGCCATATAAAAAAATGTGTGCTCAGTAGACTGCCAAATACTTTGGTAGAGCATTTGCTTTCTTCGCTTGAGTATCAGAGACTATCCTTCCTGTCTAAGAAACTCTACATGGATGAGAAGCAGTTAAGAGTAGATAGTTATACTGGAATGCGTCTGGCCTTACAAATGGTATATGGTCCATGGTGTGATTTCAGAGGTCCTGAGAAGACCTTCACTTTTCATTCCCCATCCTTCTCCAAATACTAGATTCTCACACAGATTTACTCCTTTATCACTGAGCTGCTCATCTGTCATTTAAATGAAACCAGGAAGGGTGATATATTAAGCCATATTAGGGATTTATACACTGAAATACCTAGTGTGCATTAGTTTTCTCATTTATTTTCCTGGGAATAAATTAATGATATAGAAGAAGACAGAGAGAGCAAAGAACACTGAGAGTAAGCACATTTAAACCCTCCCATCTTCCATCTGCTTTTACTTAAGGTTCATGTGACATGGGATTAGGACTCCTAGCTAGGAATTATTTTCAATAAGCAGTCACATGAATATGTAGTTTATGAATTTATAAATTCAGTACCTTATAGGGTGGGTTAAGGACTATGACTTTTTCAACAGAAAATGGAAGACTGATGCTTCTCCTCCATTACAGGTTACTGAGTGGGCAGCTAGAAAAATCAATTGAATTAATGTTATGATAATAAAAAGTTACTGTAATTATCTGTTCTCTGTTCCAGTTCAATTAATCTTCCAATTTTGCTGAGTTGCTTTGTATATTTTACTTCCCAAACTCCAAAGAGGGTGCCCAATGATCCCAACACACACTTAACTAACTGTTAAGGAGCTACTGGACTACCACGTGCTACTTAACCAGTGGGCAATTCTTTTTTAGACCTACCAGATATTTGGGGTGTCACTGAAATGTAGATTTGTCATTCTGAGAACTTCTACTGATCTAGATGGAAGATTCCATTCTAATTTGGAGATTCCAGTATTACATATAATCACATGATAACAGAATACATCCCGTCTCCATCTCTTTCCAGCCACGACTCAATCATACCTTATGGGTTCTATGACTTCAAGTATATAGACCTATCTATTCTCATGGCCTAGAACCCTGTCAAAAAATCACCTTAAAGTCAGTACTATTTCCATGCCTTGGAGAGAGAGAAGTAGGTTAGTGAAATTTGGGGCCTCTCATTTACAATATTGAAGCAAGGAAAATGAATTTTGCCCAAAGAGTGATGAGTTAGGATAGCAATGCTGGAATAAGTGAGGAAAGTTAGAAATCATTAACCCTTCTCTGCCAGTGTGGCCATTTGCATCCATCTCAGACTCATCACAGAGAGTTTCTGGCACTTTTCCATACTTCTAAACATAATTGCCGGTGTAAGTCAGAGGGTGAGGACTCCTGATGAGAACTGAAGGTGGAAAGCAGAGTGGATGAGTAGAATTTCCCATAGCCTTGAGACTGGTGGATAGAATCTGTATTTTGGCAAAGGTAAAATAGATGGAACTCAGTCTAAGAGTTAGGATACAATTAAAAGCACAACACTAAGCCCACTATAAAACTGTTACTCCACTTTTTAAATCAGAATTCTCTTTATTTGTAATTATTTGAGCATTGTACTTTAGGGAGTGGAGCAGATTCCTGTACTATGTAGGAGGGGGGAAAAATAAAAGCTCTTTAACATAGTTAAATATGTTAGTTAAATTAAACCAATGTTTATTGAGTATATACTATGCCCTGGGCTGGTGCTGTGAAGAATATAAAAGATTTTAAAATGACGTATATTATGTTTATATAATATATGAACACAAAAGTATAAAATATTTCAATGTATGTAGTATGTATCTATAAATAGCTGTGTATAAATTAGTATATTTATCCATGCAGATTTAATGTTTTCTGGTTTCAGGGTGTCCATCCAAGATATTACCCATTATATTATTTTTAATAACACTGCAGAGATT